GGGGGGTCGGCCCCCGAGCGCGGCCGGACACTCGCGGGGCGCCGCCCCGGCAGGGTGAGCACGGGCGGCCGAGCCTGCGCTACGAGCGCGGGGGGCCTCCAAGCCCCAGGGCTGGGGGGTGGGGAACACCCGGGGAGGGGGGTGCGCCCCCTGAAGTTCCGAGCTTGAGGTCTCGGGGGGACGATCGGGGACACCCCGAAGTTCCAGGGCTGGGGGCGATCGCCCGGGTCCCGAAGTTCCGAAGTCGGGGTCGGAGAAGGGACGGCGCGGGAGGTTCCCAAAGTTCCAGATCTGGTATTGGGGGGGACGCTGTGAAGGGGGTCCCGTAAGTTGCAGACCTAGAGTGGGGGAGCGACGTGGGGGGGAATCCCCGGAATTCCAGATTGGGGACTACAGTGGGGCGACGTGGAGGCGGGGGGGTCCCTGAAGTTTCATAGTCGGGGTAGCGCGGAGTCCCCAAAGTTCCGGAGCTGGGGTTCCAAGAGACGGTGCGTGGGGTCCTCGAAGTTCTCTCCCCGAGGTTGGACGAGGCAGAAGAGGTGTCCCTGAAGTTCTGGACCCCGAATTGGGGCTGGGGGGGGACATCGTGGGGCTCTCATAGGATCCAGGGTCGCAGCGCTTGTCCCGGAGTTGGGGCGCACCCAGGGTGTCCTCCTGACGCGGGTGGGGACTGGAAATGGAATGAGTATCAGGTCCCTGGACAGGGGCACATGGAATGGGGTATGGTCGCACCCCATCCCACCCCACCTCCAGGCCCGATTGGGGATCCCGGGTGGTGTCGGACCCCCCTCCGGGAGCCCCACGGCCAGCGGCGTCCCAGGCGCATGAGTCGTTCATGAGTAACTTTCCTCCAAACGCTGCAAGTCGTGGCAGGAGCGGATGGGCCGGAAGGACCTGTGTTCCGGGGCTCAGGGGATCCTCCTGCCCCCCAAGCTCAGGGCCAGGCTCAAGACCTGCCCCCAACTCCTCCGGCCACAGAGCTGCCGCCCCTCCTCCAGCCAGGGGCTCGGGTTTCAAACCCTGTGACCAGACAGCGCTGCCCGGGACAGCATGGGGGGACACCCCACCTCCTTTCCCTCTTCTCCAAGCCTGGGGGTACCCCATGCAGGTTCCCTGGATGCAGGCTGAGGGATGCAGGGGGATAGGATGGGGAAGTTTCCCTGCAAAGACCTTAGGGTGCCTGTTAGAAGAGTCAGCAGGGGGCCAGGCCACTGGGTTGCAGACTCAGACTGGTAGAGTGGGCTATGTGGGATTCAGTGCTTTAACCACCTTGCCACTTGCTAGATTGTCTCATCTTCTTTTTTTTTTTTTTAATTTTTAATATTAATAATTTGTGTTTTAATT